CATTCAAAGGGTTTCTCCCCTATGCGAGTTCTCTGTTGTCTCATGAGTTGGGAATTTCCAGTTTGAAACTTTCATATAATCTGGACACAGATATAGGATGTGAGTCCTCTGATGTATCACCATGTTGCCATGCTCACTAAAGTATTTTCTACATTGGGAACACTTTTGTGGATTTTATTCTGTGTGGATCTTCTCGTGCATAATCAGCTGTGGTTTGCAATCTGTGCTTTTCCCACAATAGGGGCATCTATGGAGCTTTTCCAACACTAACATTCTTGACAGCAAAAATATCTGTGATCCCCTTTTAGTGGAGTTTTGATTAAAGCCTTTTTTTATCTCCTAGAGCGAGGCCTGCATCACAATTTGCCCTATGTAGCTATCCAATTGACCCTTTCCTCCACACTAATTTCCAGATATTTCCCTCTTTTGCAGAATAAAAAATAATCTTCCTTGATTTTTCATGTAATGTATTCTCGAGTTATGCATAATCTACTTATTCCAGTTTGAAATATTTCTTAATTTTCTCTCTTTTGTCTAACAACCTCTGGCGGAGGAGGAGGAGAATTGTGTGAATGAAATGGAAAATATTTTTATTTCTAGCTTGATTTTCTTTCCTTTTCGAAGTTACTTGTTATTATTGGTTGCTCTTATTGTCAGCATGCTCTTATTGTCAGCTTCTTTGCCTATAGGATTCAAAGAAAAGTATAATGTTCATTGTTTATGAAGTAGCTGTAGAAGATATGAAAAAAGAAAAAAATATTCGGTACAACAAAAAAGCAAACATGCCACAATGCTAAAATAACCTCTTAAATTAATCATGATTCATTTTACACATGAAAGATTACCCGGATCCAAGTTCAAATATCCATTCAATCATGAAATTCCCTAGTTAATTTGGGTCAATCACAAATTCTTAGCACTGCAAAGGCTTATCACCAAATATATCTGAAAATGCTCAGTATAGATTATTCTAATTGCAGACATATGCTCACAAAGAGAAATACAGATACAGACACCTACAAATATATAAAAGTCAAAAATCCATGTCTTTCAAGCCTGAAAAAATATTCCAAAATGGTTAGTTAAACCTGAGATAATTTTAGAAACGTGGGGTTTTAATTGATGAAATGAGGTCTCTGCCAGATTTGAAGCACCCATTTTGCTCATGGAAGTCCTCGGCTCCAAATATGGGCAGAAAATACTGTCTACAACTCCTCTGGTGACATCCCAATTCAAGCAGTCCTCACTTATTGACCACAATTGGGACTGGTATCTGGACACTAAGCAGTCCGATCATAAGCATGTTGTCACATGAGACTGCCAACTTATATCTGTGCAGTTGTTAAATCACTGCGGGTTGTTAAAGGCAGTTTCACATGACGTTACGCCCTTTTCAGAAAATCTAAATAGGCTATACTGAATTACCTTTGGCGGGGAGGATGAAATATTTGTACATCATTGTGGATCATTTGACTAGATGGGTGGAAGCATTCCCTTATGTAAACGCAAATAAATGTCTTCCCTTGGCATTGCTGAGAATACAAACTCAACCTAGAAAAGATGTGGGAATATCACCATTTGAAATGTTGTTTGGGGTACCATATATGGGGAGGGAGGGTTTTACCAAGAATTGAATTAAAAGACAAAATGGTTAGAAAATAAGTACAAGAACTGTCCAGATGTTTTTCTCTTTTGTGACAGAAAGGCATTCTTGCACGAACATTCTTGGCTGAGAAATTCTGGGAGTTGAAGTCTACAAGTCTTAAAGTTGCCAAGTTTGGGGACCCCTGGTTTAGCTTATAGTATTGTTTAAAATAATAAGGGGAAGTTGGGAGGGCTTTGTGTAGGGGGTATAAATGTATAGCTTGAATATGGGATTTTGCGCTTCATGATCTCAATCCACTTTGGGAAGGGACGAGAAGGCCTGCCTTTGCAAACACATTTTTAATCTTTGTACATCAGAATTGTCTGTTGAATTTGTGAGTATAAATTTTGGAACATTTTAAATCTCACTAACAATTGTTCATCAACAATTTCAATGAGGGAATAAAAGGAGAACTCATCAAATTTGGAGATGACACTAAGTTGGCAGGAATAGCCAATAACCTCAGAAGATAAGTTCAAGATATAGAAGAATCTCGATAGATTTCAACACTGGGCACTATCTAACAAAATGAAATTCAATGGAGAAAAAAATGTTTTACACTTAGCCAAGAAAAAGCAAATGTAAAGGTACAAAATAGGTACAACCTCAACAGCAGTAACTTCAAGATGAACCTTGAAATCCTAGTGGACAATCACTTAAATATGAGCCAACAGTGTGATGCAATGGCCAAAAAAGCCAAGACAATCCTAGGCTGCCTAAACAGAGTGATAGAATCAAGATCACATGAAGTGCTAATACCAATTTATAAGGCTTTGGTAACACCACACTTGGAACACTGCATCCAGTTTTGATCACCATAATATAAAAAGGGCATTGAGACTCTATAAAGAGGGCAGAGAAGAACAGTGAGGATGATTTTTGGGGGGCAGGGTGGGGGGAGGAGAGGCTGGAGACTAAAACATATAAAGAAGGGTTGCAGGAATTGGGTACGTCTAGTCTAGTGAAAAGAAGAACTAGGGGTGACATGATAGGATGAGGTGGGTTAACCTCCAAAGCCCCTGAAAGCAGGACAAGAAACTGGATGGAAACTAAGCAAGGAGATAAGCAGCCTAGAACTGAGAAATTTCCTGACACCAAGAACAGTTAACCAGTGGGACAGTTTGCCTTCAGAGTTGTGGGTGCTCCATCACTGGGAGGCTTTGAAACAGATACTGGACAGCCATTTGTCTGAAATGATATTGGGTCCCCTGCTTGGAATAGAAGACCTCCAAGGTTCTTTCCAGTTGTGTTACTCTGTTACAAACCTCCAGTGACGGAGTACCCACAACCTCTGGAGGGGAGTGATCCCCAAAGCTTCAACCCTGTCTTGAAAGAGACTTTTTTTTAAAAAAAAATCTTCCCGCTAGCAGAAAAATTGCAGCCACCAGTTTTAACAGCGTGCAGCACCAAAGGGCTTAAATTTGGGGAGGGAAGCAACCGGCAGCACCAGCTTCCAGGCGGTGGAGGAAACCAAACAGCACTACTTGCTTCCGGATCCTTCTCTAACCTGTCCTCATCTTACCTGGCAGCTGCTGCTTCAACAGGGGGAACAGCCCAACAACCAAACTTCGCACCGCCTACCGCCCCATGAGTGATCAAGCAGAGGAAATTCCTCTGCGCTTCTTCTCTCCTCCCATCCTTTCTAGCAATACGGTACTCGATGGTTTTAACGCCTTAATTATGTATTATGCGCTTTTCAGGCACAAATGTTGCCTATCCCAGGGGTCTCTAACCTTCGTAACTTTAAGACTTGTGGACTTCAACTCCCAGAGTTCCTCAGACAGCTTTGCTGTCTGAGGAACTCTGGGAGTTGAAGTCCACAAGTCTTTTAAAAGTTGCCAAGGTTGGAGATCCCTGGCCTATCTGACTGCCATCTTCTGATAGCAAGGCAGAAAAATATGTTTTTGCAAGATGTTTTCGCTGATTAAATGCTATCAAATCGTTACGGACTTCTAGCAACTGGCTTTTGCAACTGAGCCAAATGAAATAATAAGCTGCTACTCAGCTTACTGAGATTAGCTCCATGCTTTCTGAGTCCTAAACATTCATGAAGGTTTTATAGAATTACATAATCAGCTTTCTTAGGGGTGTGACTCTCAGTGGAAATCAAAGCCTCTCTACATCCAAAAACTTAAAAAGAGTGATTTCCTGTGCCTCCCAAGGATTTAGGAAATTGGCAGCACCAGGCTAGATGCTCCAGGGGAGAGAGCTTCACACCTGCTGGTCAAAGCTGTTTCCAAAAGCACCAACCACAAATCGTCATTCCTCAAGGATTTTTTTTTAATATCTGCTAAATGCCAAATGCCATATATTTCTGTAAATTTGCCTGAACTGAGGTCTCCATTTAAGTCACAGAGAGAAAAATATGCAGCAAAGCCTAGAAAATGGAGCCTAAGAAAGAGGGGCTGATTGCCTATATATGGTGGAAGAAATATTTCCAAAAAAATGTAAAAAAAAACAAAAGCCAAAAGTAGACTAGCCCATCGAACCACATAGCTAGGCTAACCTTTTTAGAAGGATACATTACAAAGCCTTTTTTAATGCAGATTTAATAAGATATGGGTGGTAAGAATAGTGGCTATTGGTTCTGGGCTCTATTGTGTGGAGGAATCTGGAATAAAATAACTCCAACATTTTATTGATTTCCTTTTCATTCAGGAACTTAAGGTGGTATACAAAGCACTTCCTGGGTAGCATTTTGTAATTTACGGAGTAAATGTCCTCCAGCCTGCACTACCTTACCGAGACATACTTTTGGCCTCTCAATATTCCATAGTGTATGCTTAACCTAACACTGAATTAGAACTCGTGGCTTTCCATCCAGTGTTCTTGAGGATGTTTGGGTTTGGTGCCTTTTAAGTCAGTCAACTCAAGCGATTTCCCCCTTTGCTGCTGATAGGCCTGGCCCAAGCTGAACTGAGTATTTCCAGTCCCTCCTTAAGGCACTTTAAGGCAGGACTGGAAATGAGTATTTCCCAGTCTCTAACCTAGTGCCCTCACCACTACACCAACCTGGTTCATCATCTTCCCCACAAAATCTACCCATTGAGCAGTTCGTGCTACTCCAACAGTCCAACATCTTTGCAATTGGCTCATCCTTACCCTCCAGACAACTAATGTCTTTCAATCTGAGTGTCAGCCTCCAAGAATCCTTCTTCTGATTGTCTTTCCAGCTGCCATAGAAACAGGGAGGGAAGAATAATTGGGCTGGGGGGGAAGGGTGTTGGGGGTTTAAGTAGATGAAATGTAAAAGTTGGGATGCTTACTTGCTTACTGTGCAGATGTAGCCTCTTATCTCTGTAGGGCAAGGTCAACCGTCTTGGCATACCAGTTGTGTGAAACATCACCTGAAGATGCCCCACATGACATTATACACATCTCAAATTGGATGACCAGTTTGAACTGTTAGGGGTGGAAACACAGGGCAACTTTCTATGTATGATTTTTCACACCTATTGCCTCAGATTTTGTATTCTTCTGATGCTACCACTTCAATTTTCAGTAAAAGTCCTTTTCTCTACAACAATGGAGTCTGAGGTTTTCTTTCGTGGATTTTGAATGGAGTCTCACCTGACACTGAGCTTCAGACTTCTGAAATGGAGTATTCCTGTGTGGGCTGGGGACATCAGGCCTGGACCTCTGTGGCATTTGGGCTGCCTTTTAATGTGCTCAAGTTTGTTAGTGACATCATGTTAGTAAGTTTTGGGAGTCTAATTTATCTTTTTATTGTAAAGAGGGGTTTTGTTGTTGTTGGGTATTCTATTGGAAGAAAAATCCAATCCGGTTCCAACCTGGTGCAAAGGCGCTGGAAATAAAATAAGAGGTTGCTTGGAAAGGAAGGTTGTTTATTGATGAACAGAACTACCTACAGCATGTGGTTCTGGGACAACTGACAACTTAACTGGATGAGTGCAAGGATTTTTAGTTTCTGAAATGCTGTAGGGGTTGTGCAATCTAGTGAGCCTGGTGTCTTTTGCTGTTCTAATGCTGGCGGGTTAATCCTATTATGGCCTAAAGGTCATGTGCTGTTCTTAGAATTTGGGTGGAGGGGGATGTAAATTTAATCCCATCGCTTGGAAGTGAAGGTGTTTTGTTTGTGAATAGGCTGGCTAAGTCTTTCTCAATGGGCACAAAATAGCCATCTCTAAAGACTTCAGGCATCTGCTGGGGGCTATTAAGAAAGACTGAGGCTGCTTTCTGCCTTTAAGAACATGTTTCTCCATTTTTCCTTTGGGGAAATATAATATTCTGCCTTTTAATATTCCCCAAAATAGTTCATTCTTCTAGGAGGGGGGCATCCCACACTCCTATTTCTCTCATGTTAGTTTTAACGTGTCTTCTTTCTATATTGTAATTCACTTAATATTTCTGCTCTGCACTTAATCCTTAATCATGACATAAACTATTATTTTTATGCCGAGATTCATACCTGTTGTTGGAAGTTAAAACCAACTCCTCTCCTAGGAAAATGATATCGTTTAGGATATACTAAAAAGGCAGAATATTTCCCCTAAAAAGAAAAGTAGAAACTCAGAGACAGAAATTCACCCCCCCCCCTTTGCTAATTAGTTATTACTCTGGCCTGGGCCAGTCTATTTTACATAACAAAGGTCTACTCCAGGTAAGAGCCATAATAGGAATTGCCCAAAGCCCTTTCATTACATCATCATCCTCCAAGGGTCAACTCTGTAGGACAGCCTACAGAGTTGCCCCTGCATGGCCCCATGGGAGCCTGACAACCAATCAGAATATGAGCTCAAATTCAAATCCCAACAAAGGGCACAAAACCAAGGGTCTCTCATCATCTTTTCCCTTTTTCTTCACCCAAGGCATGTGATCCTGTCCACCATTAAACCATCTTTCCAAGCAGTCACCATGTTTCCAGTATCTTTCTTCCCCACTTGGAACTGAACCCAGGATATTTCTTCCAATATACCCATTGCCTCCCTTTCTTGCCTTCTGGGGCTTTGATTGTGTGCATCAGACATCTCCAAGAAAAAAAAAAATGCACTCTTTGCAATGAACTCTTGCAGTAGCCAGTAAAGCCACAAACTCCTTCAAGTTCTTCTTTTCCCTGTCTTAGTGTCCAACTTTATTCCCCAAAGAAATAAGAAATCTATGGATAATAAATATAATTTGTCCTCACTGGGATAGATTCTAAGCATTGCTTTAGATTAGAATGCACGATTACGCACTACAGTAAAGCCTTGTCAAAGATTCAGAGGCTTTGACCATTTCAAGGGTTTTTAAAATATTCTTAATTATAATGAGACATGACGAAAGCTATGGGGGGGAAAAGAGACACAAAAATGAATGAAACATTAAATATAATTTTAATGTTTTAAGAATTAGAGACTTCCAACATGTTTAAGTTTGAAACTACCTGGAGCTGCAGGCTCAGGCCAAAAGAGGTTCTTGGTTCCTCCTCACCCTTGACCTGGTCCTGGTTATGGGTGTCCTTTTGCAGAGGGATCCTATGCAAAGTGACCCATTAGAAAAAAAATTATAACCAGTCCTCTGAATCGTGTTAGTGAAATGAACAAACCTGCAATTCTTTGGTGTCTCCTAAACTCAGCAAAATCAGAATTATTCATTTCCATAGCGAAAATTCCACTTTTCTGCTCCAATTATTGTTCCTCTCTTTACTTGTAGGGATTATTTGGAAAAATTTAAAAAGCCCTGAGAGAGGAACGAAAGAAATGGAACCATCTCCCATGTGTTGGGAAGACAGCTTTACATTATCTTACCCCCAGATTCACAGCAATGCTGACAATACCCATTTCTTTCATTCTCAAAAGCTATTTTAATAGCCACACAATGCTTTTTGTAGTAATGAAACATTTTCTACCATATAATTTATTTCTTACAGCTCCAACACCAAGGCATTTGCAACAAATTTGACAGCATTTTGACGCTGTTACCATTGGGGTAACAAGCAGGCACCTCCAAGAAAAGGTCATGGCAGGGGTTGTTAACGAACCTAAGAACTCTGTATTCAAAACCACAATGTTTTTTCTGCTAAAGCTACAACCTCTGTGCTTATTTTTTTACAATGTATTTTTTAGAAGCTTCAGCAGTTTACTGGGACCACTCAGAAAGGTTACTTATGACTCACAGACATTTTGTACAAAGGATATGCTGGCTGGGAAATTGTGGCCTCAAAATCTGAAAAACACCCAGAGTGCAGAACACTGAAATTCTGCATGTTGCGTTTCTATGTTCTATAATGTTCAATTTGCAAATTGCACCATTTGGGCTAACATAATCATAGTCACTTCTGCCGATGACCAGATATGTATTGCTCGTCTTGATCGAACTAACATTTTCCATTTTTTCTCACTCATCCTTAATGTCTCATGAGACACTTGACTAACAAGAATCAGGCCAATTAATTGTTCATTTTGACTTCCAATAGGACACCAGAAATGAATTTCAAGACTTCTCTAAACTTATCTCCTGCATCATGTGAACTTTCTTGTGCACAGTAAGGGAGGAACTATTTGTGAAACACCGTCCACAGTCCAGGCATTTGAATGGTTTCTCCCCTGTATGTATACCTACATGATTTATAAGACCAGACTTGGTACTAAAATCTTTCCCACAATCTGGACACTCATATGGTTTTTCTCCGGTGTGACTTCTCTGGTGTATCACCAGGTCTGAATTCCGGAGGAAACTTTTCCCACAATCTGCACATTCATATGGTCTCTCTCCTTTGTGAATCTTCTTGTGTATCATCAGATGAGAATTCTGACTGAAACTTTTTCCACAATCTGCACACTCATATGGTTTCTCTCCTGTGTGAGTTCTCTGGTGTATTGCCAGGCTGGAATTTCGACTGAAATTTTTCCCACAATTTGGACATTCATATGGTTTCTCTCCTGTGTGAGCCCTCTGGTGTCTCACTAAACCAGAACTCTGACTGAAACTTATTCCACAATCTGGGCACTCATACGGTTTCTCTCCTGTGTGAATCTTCTGGTGTATC